AAAGGTAGAACACTTAAGGCCTCCACACAGAAACATCCGTAACGTGTTAAGTTACGTTGAACTTAAAGTTATTGTTCTTAAACTTAGCTTGTACTTAACGTTAAACTTAGGTCAATTTGGATAAAGAAAATAAAGAAAAACTTAACATAAGCGTGCGTCAAGAATGTCATTTACCTGTAAAGTAAGTATAGTATGTAAAGTATGTCAAATATAGGTTGAATCACTTGGTCTCATTTTTAATATAATAATAATTTGAAGATATCACAGACTTCTAGTAGTTATACATGAATAAAATTGTGAGAAATAAAATTGAAAATATTAAATTGTTTCTTGGGGAAGAGTGATAAAATATTAATTTATCAAATTAAATATATTTCCGTTCATTCTTTTATTATAAAATATTTGATACATTCTTATTTTATAGATAGATAACGTTTTTGACATAAGCATACTTACATTAAGTTTTTCTTTGTGCGTTGAACTAAGTTTAATGTTAAATATAGGCTAAGTTTAAGAACAATACTTAACGTAACTTAACGTGTTACGGATGCTTCTGTGCCTTTATTTGTATTCACCCTTTATACTAAATGAAATAGAGTAAATATTTCCATTTTTTATCATACGATATTAGTTATCGGTGGCAATTATAATTGCAACATGAAAATGGCCTGCGTGCATTTGCATATATCTACATCTTCATATAATTAGAGTTATCAATATTATAATATATAATAATTATAACATTTATAAATAACCATAATAAATATAATATTTATAACTTATAACAAGATGTAAATATGCAAATACGCGCAAATCACCTTCATGTTGCTCGATTAATGAAAATTGCCGCCGATAATTGATATTGCATAAAAAGTTGCAGCACTTATTCGTATTCACCCTGTATACAGTGTTTACGTAAGAACAAATGGGACAAATCTTGGTGATATTTTTAGCACAATTTTTTTCTAAACGTTTTCATTTGTAATATAAATATAAATAGTTTGATCTGTTACCGTGGGTTGAGAGTTGCGTTTTTGTTGTAATTTTTTTTGTAAAGACAACACGGCGAAACGCTTGCATTTGGCTTCTTTTTTTACTTTTTTTGTTTTTTATAGTAATCTTTTGCTTTTTAGTGTTACGTGAGAATATAAATAGGACAAACTCATCAAAATAGGGAAAGGAAAGTACAAATTGAAAAAGCTTCAGGGGAGAGAAAAATTGGTTTTTTTAATATATTGCACAATAATAGATAAAAATATAAGTTTGTGCGTGTGTGTGTGTGTGTGTACTCATCAATAATTCTACTAATATTTTTTTATCATATTTTATTTCCAATAACTTATATGTTTGCACTTGCTATGTTGTCTATGAGAAGGGATGTAGGATAAAGATAAAGCGAGAAGGAGAAGAACGGTGTGCGGCGGTTGACATCCCGGGAGTTAAAGGCAGGGTGCGAGTTTGTAGTGCGTGTACTTGCGCGCGCGCGTGTGTGTGTGTGAGGGAGGGCATTTATATGCGTGCGTGACACGGGGTGTGGGCTGTAAAGACTGTATAGTAGTTGTAGAAACTTGTACACTGTTGTAAGAACAACTCACAAACAAGGCCAGAAAAGTTTTTATCAGACTCGTTTCATCGCAAATGGGATATGTTAAAGAGATCGTTGTAAATCCGATGCAGGTTTGGCGCAGGACGATTCTGCGGAGTCATTCATTCATTCGTTGATCGCTGAGTGAGACGCATTTGAGATATTGGAAGTTGAAGTTAAGCATTGCATAATTCTAACGTATATACTCTGTGTTAACGTAAGAGGACGTGTTTATTATGAGAATCGGGAGTATATTTATAGTAAATGGATAAAAGTAGTCGAGAGAGAGAACCTCAGGTTTTTTTTTAATGAAGAATGTCCGAAAACGTTTGTTGTTCGATAATCGTCACTCGATAACTTCCATAATGATTTATATTATCTGTTATCTGTTGACATCTGAATCATCACGCTAGATCCCGACAAAATCCGAGTGATTGGTCGTTGATGTTGTTAGAGTTGAAGGGAACGTACGTTTACATAAAAATTGCGCTAGATGATTGATATATTTCGCGTGAAGTGAAGAGTCAGGAATTATCGACGAGTGTAACCACACAAACGAAAGGAAAAGAAGAAAAAAAAAATTTTTTTCTTCTTTTCCTTTCGTTTGTGTGGTCACACTCGTCGATAATTATATATATATATATATATATATATATATATATATATATATATAATAAAAATATAGAGTCCTCTTGGTAAANTCTTGGTAAAATAAAAGGTATACGATTCGGTTATAGGTGTCGCTTATTTATGGTGCGTACATACGTGTGTGACATTTCGCGTGGCATATACTGCGCCCGTATCGTTTGCCGGTTTTTCACAGCGGTGTTCCAGTACAAGTGTTATAGTTTGTGTGTGAATAACAATTAATAACAACAGTAGCGGCAACAGTAACAATAATAATAAACAACAATTTAAATCTATATTCGCGGGTGTTTTGGGACATCGACGATTGTTGTGTAACACGCAAAATGTGGAATATGATGTGCGACGTGATGCCGACGATCGCGGAGGACAGCATGAGCCAGCGGAGCTCACAGTTCTCCGGGGAGGACGGTAATTTTGAGCAACTAATGGTGTCGATGCTGGACGAGAGGGACAAGCTGATGGAGTCGATGCGTGAGGGTCAGGAACGGCTACAGGAGATGGAAGCGCGGTTAGCGGAGGTCGAGAAAGAGCGGGACGCCCTTAATCGTCAACTTAATGCGAACATTCCTCAGGTATATTGATTCTTCATTTACTCCTTCGCGATGATATTCACTGTAAAGTGGGAAGGAGGAAACGTTCCACATAAATTACTTACGCATATCAAATGCATGCGATTATTAGATGTTAATTTTTCTTAATCTTAATGCGATTGTTGTGTCAATAACTATGGAGGGCCTTCGACGATTATAATTATTATAACTGTACGATTATAATTATTTGTCAAGATGTTTGACAAAATGAAGACTCTTCTACAATGATTGTAACGGCTGTGAGTCTGTAAGTTCTAGTCTACAATAGATGCTTTAAGTCCTAAACCTTAAGAAATTGACCAATCACGATCGAATTATAGAAGAATAATCAATGGTGATTGGTTAATTTCTTAAGGTTTAAAACTCTATTGTAGATCTAGCCTTAGATACGGTCGTTTTCAATAGTATGTCGTAACATAAGATCATAAATGAGAGTATAAGTTATTTTTATTTCTTACACCTTACGCGTCGATCAATTGGAACGAAGCAACGTAATAAAGCTCTAATCTTTCCTTCCTTGAGTGATGTCCGGCTTATGTTTTACTGTGAGCTGTGTTATGGACAGTACCATTTTAAGAACATTAAACTTTACGACCCTCAACTAAATACCACAGATTTAGAGCCATACCGCTATAGCCATTGCAGGAATGGTCTCAATGGTTTTGCGGTAGATAATTTAAAATTCATAAGATCATCTCAGAGACTTTTTCTAATAGCTATATGTGTCGATCTATGGATTCGTGATTGTTAAAACATTTGCACAACTATCGTGATCTGCAGATACGCTTTAGCGCAAAACTATAATTACATGAATGTGTTATCTTTTTGGTATCTCACTTTGAGCAAGGCATACACGTTACTAACAGCGTAATTAACTTTTTACTTAGAGTTTTACTTTACTCAGGTTTGGCCTTTTATCTATTGCTTGCATGTAAATTCTATAAAATGAGTGTATTTCTCTTTGTTCCGATTTAAATCAGTTTTGTTTAAAGAAATATGATTTTATTCTTTTTCGTGTTTTCATGAAAAGGATACATGGAGTTTCTTTACACGTCTCTGCTTTGTGGATTTTTTTAATGACTTAGAACAGGTCTGCAAACACGGTTCGCACGTTTCCATGGATTTCGCCTATTGCCGTCTCCCCATTCTTCTAGTTTCACAGTGTCCAGAAATTGTACGGAAATTTCGCGAATGTTGCCCGGCGTGCTGTTTATCATTTAGAGTATCATTATTATTATTACTATTAGAGAAGTATTATTTTTATTATGATTAATAGTAATAATAATAATATTTCTCTAAACAGTGAACAGCACGCGAGGCAACACTCGTCAAGTTTCCAGACGATTTTTGGCTAATATTATTCTAATACTATTGAGATTGTGAGCGTCTTACGTCTCCGAGAGGAACCTGGATACTGTGAAACGTGAGGAGTAGGGTTGGCAGTCGCGCCGAAATCCATAGAAACATGCAAACTGTGTGCAGGCCTGACTTAGAAAATATGATATACAAGATCTAAATTTCGCACCAACATTGCGTTAGCTTTTACTAGCCATTGAGAGTCGACGCACGATTGTATTAGTGCAAATATGCGGACATAAAGTTTTTTAAATAATTCAAAAGAACATTAATCGACGAAAGATATATCAACCAGACGTTTCGATACTTCGTTGAATTCTTCTCGATGGACAAACAATAATAACATTCAAAGTCAGTAGCGATTTAAATCTTTTAATTTTAATTGCCAGCGCACTAAACGACGGGACGCACTAAATGACGGGTCCTTAACATTAAAAAGCGAAGTTAATGATTTGCAATCGTTATTTTACGTAATGTGTGACTTTAAATCTATAATTATCTATAATTTAAATCTTTCGACTGTGTAAATACGGTCGAAAGTGTTTTATTGCCCAAACAATAGCAAAAGTTCCTTCTCAGTAGTGTCGAAGTTGCGTCCTGCTTTGTTAAGTATTCCGATGTATAGATAGTAGAAAGGTCATTATTAACATTTCCCCGCGACAAAATAGTGCCGATCGCCAGTGTTTGTCTAAAATTATAATCTGAAGCAAAATCTTTTGAAGATAATCTCCGTCATATTGCGTTTTGTCAATTCGTATAAGCCCGTGTTACTTCATTCGGTTACTTCATTCGGGATTGTTTTCTGTAATAAGAGCTAATCAGTCTCCGTTTGCCCTAATGCCTTCGGAATTGCCAAGTTGATTACAGCGGAGCCTTTTTTGTTCTCCCGTGACGTCGGTCCTTGCATCATCTTCCTCCGCCCGAGATGTTTAAACATATAGAAATATTTTACGCGCGGACCAACCAATTTGCAATTATTACGTATGATTAAACTATATTTTGAGCATAAAATAATTAAGAACTTACAATTATGTCTCTTTATTTTTATTACAACCTTGGCAACGTTGCAACAATAGGGGAGGCCGGGTCTAAAAATCACATAGGTCGGAAGTCGCAAAGCTTATATCTCACGTAATAAATAAAATAAAATATTTCTTATATTTATAAGTTTTATAGTGAAGCTTGCTCTCGGAGATGCTGTTCGTTAGAAAACGCGTTTAGTCTATCATGAGCTGTGCTGTGGAGCGTACCCTTAAAAACAGTTACGAAAATGTCGTCGCCCACGTATTTAGATCGAAGAGGGAAAAAAGACATAAGGAATCAACCTGAGAGTACCAAAAAGAAAATCATTAAATCGATCCTCGAAACCGAGACAAGGATAGGTTTGACTGTTAAACAAATTTGAAGTGGAGCAGGACAACAAAGGCCGAACGCGGGACTTTAAAAGATTACGTGCACAAGACATCTTTTCCAAAAGAAAATGCTATGAAACCAGTGCATGGAGATTCGAATGATTCGCTGGAACGATATGAAGGAGGCTTTATACAAAATAACAATGAGAATCTTAATTCGATAATTTTGAAAATGGCTCTGAAAGTGGAAAATAACGATGTAAAAATCGTTGAAATTGCATCACGAACGTTTTCACCACAATGATGGTTTTTTCATAAACATTCTTCTGATGATGCAGACTATTAGCTTGAAATTAGGGCATCAAAGCAATGACACATGCCAAGAAATCGACAACGCGCGCATCATCATCATTGTGGAAATTCGGGCACAAGCAGCTACAAAAGAGGTTCGACAACATCGTAGGGCATTATTAAAAGAAGCCGAAGACAAGTTTTTAGAAGCCAAAGCCGAGCTTTATGGTGCTAGCATAGCAGATTAGAAGTAAGGCCATTTTATAAGAAAAAAAAGTCGTTTCGAACTTTCTTTTGTGTTTTTCTCGAAATCATGTTTTTCAAGATGGATGTAAACTTTTCTCTGAAACTAATAGTCCACTTCATTTTATTTTGGCACAAATATTCTTTAGAAAATTATCTATCGTATAGCGTACGATTTTTTTCAATATATTAATCCATTTATTTATAATAAATTTTCTAAGCTCTTATTTTAAAGCCAATTTTTTTTCTAAATAGAGCTGTTTTTTATATTTCTCAACAAAAAATCCTACACTGCATGATAGCTATTACATCTGTTTGCAAAGAAATATTTTACGTTTTGATTTCAGACTACCTCCGTCCCCGGAAATGTTACACCCGTCCGATCCCGCCGCGGCGAAGGAGTTTTGCGGGAATTGTTCCACAGCTTAAACTTTTCAGTCAATTTTTTTTTAAATTTGTGAATTTGTAATTTAAATATTGTATATTATACTCATAAAATATAAATTAATTCTGCACAGTAATTAATTAAAAAAAAAATCTTAAATTTGTGCTTATTTTAGACCCTGTTACGCTCTTTAATTGCCTTAGAAACATATTATATGCATTATGACGCATTATAAACGTTTATCATCGGTCCATGACATTATAGATCAAAATTGACTACAAATGTCAATATTCTAATCAGCTGTCAAAGTAAATTTTGTCAAATGCTTGTTACAAAATGGTATTAGATTTGATACAAAATCTGTTGGATCAGACGTTGTTGATAAATTGCCAGCAGAAATAGCACAAAACTTGCTAACATAATGTGCAAGCAAATTGATGCGAAAAATTCTAGCAAGATTTGCGTGATGTAGTTAGACGCCAAATTGATGTCAAAAACCGAACAAAATCTGCGCGACGCAGTTTGACACCAAATTGATGCTAAAAACCGAGCAAGATCTGCGCAGTTTGACGCCAAATAGATGAAAAAACGAAGCTAGATCTATTATTTCAAATTAAATCTGTTATTTCAATTGAAATATTATTTCAAATTATATTAAAGAGAAATATAGAAAGTACAATTTATAGGAAACACAACTTATAAATGTTTTCGCGTGTTTGAAACGATGATGTTGTTTGAAAGGGTAAAATTTCTTAATCTCATTTTAATATTATGTTTCTCTATACCTATTAATGTGTCCTATTTTATATTTGTGCAGGAATTTTCACAGTTGACGAAAGAATTGGCGGCAGCACGAGAAAACATCTTGGAGAGGGAAGAAGAGATCTCAGAGTTAAAAGCTGAAAGAAATAATACACGCGTACGTAATTGAATTTGTCTAACATTTTATTTTTTTACCTAGCACACACAAATATGTTCCATAGTTATAATATAATGAAATTAGTAAATATACCAATTAACGGACACCTCTCCAACGACCTTGATTTTGACATATATTATTAAGGGCAACGTGTGTGAAAATTTTAGGTATAGATGAACAGCTATTTAAAAGTTATTAACGAAAAGAATGAGTAAAAGATATGTACAAAAATGAGTATAAATTAAAATAAACTAAAAATTGAAAAAAAAATTTTTTAATAATAAAATATTTTAAAAAATATTTAAAAAATGAGTAATTGAGTAATAAAAAAATATATAAAAAAGATGAGTAAAGAAATTTGAAGTTGAAACAATTTAAAAGTTGGGAAACAAATATTAAATAACAATAAAAGACTAAATCGATTCTCGAAACTGAGATAAGAAAATTTTGAAATAAAATTCTACATAATTATAATTATATTAATTATTAATAATGTTTTGTGAATTATTTACTATTTCTTTGCGACAGAGGGACAAATAATCTTTATTGTTATACAATACAATACACGAATGTACAGTATGAATGTTCGTGCACAGATAGATTCGCAGATAGCTATTAAAGTGGCCTTTCATAACAGAAAGGTTGAAGAGAGACACAATATAGAAGAAACCCGGGCAAAGTGAATCGCCCGGGTAAAAAAGATAATGATGTTTCTCGCTAAACTATTATATATGATGTTATGATGTTGAAATTCATCGATAAGTAGACTATATTGTGAAATCATGACAGTGACATTGAAACAATGTAAAATTGTACGTTGCTACCGTTTAGAATTTTCTTTCTTTCGATATTTTGTTACGATTTCCATTAAAGTATGTTCGTTAATTTTAATGCTTGTTGACTGATTGCTTTATATTGCCGAATTAATCAATTTTTAGAATTTTGGGTTATAACTTTTGAATTTATTGCGTTAACAGTTATATTTTATGAATTTGTTTTCAAACCGGTCTTTTAGATAAAGCAAATAGGACAAGGAATAAGGTAGAAAATGAACAAACTTTGAAATTATGTCAAGTAACTGACAAAAAAACTAGAATTGAAGACTTAACTGAACTCAGTCACTGTGATAGAAGTAAAAGAATTGCTAAGAAATCAAAGAAGGGAACTATAAATAAGAAAAATATGAGATATTTATGTACAATCTGTAAGGAGTACACTGAACCTATTTCTAAAGGCTGGATTTAATGTAGCCAATGTTGCAATTGGGCTCATGAGTCTTGCACATCGTGTTTTTGACAATTTTTTGAAAGAATCATTATCGATATATGAAAGTTATGAAGAGTTGTTGGAGATTAAATTCTTTCCTCATGCAAAGAAACGAGGATTATTAGACGTATAAATAAATTCGGTGCTTTTACATTTGACATCTTGTAACTCTGGTTCAAATTAAAAACTTTTTCCCGCCCTATGATGATTTGAAAGTGCCAACCTTAAATTTTAAGAAGCACTATAATATTTGGCGGTCCTGCCGACATTACCTCGAGAAACAGTAGTGAACACGATGTCGTCCGAAAAGGAGCATTTGAGGCACTGCATTCTTTTTGCTTTTCAGTTAAAGAAAAACGCTGCTCAGGCTGCTGAAATGATTTGTTCCGCTTTTGGGTGAGAATGCTGTGACCCATAAGACTTGTAACAAAGCAGTCCCAGAGGTTCCGAGAAGGTAATTTCGCTCTTACTTGATCGAGAACGCAGTGGAATACCGAAAAAATTGGAAGACGAGGAATTGGAGCAACTGCTGTACGAAAATCCTTGTCAGACGCAGGAACTTGCTAAAAAACTTGGTGTAACTCAACCAGTTATTTCCATACGCTCGAAGAAGCTTGGAAGAATTTTAAAGGCAGGCTGTTGGGTTCCGTTCACTCCGGAAAACAAAATGAAACGTTGTAACACGGCAATGTCCCTGCTGTCACGATTCAAACAAAAGGACTTTCTGCATAAAATTGTGACTGGGGATAAAAAATGAATATTATACGATAATCCCAAAAGACGAAAATCGTGAGTTCATCCGAGCGAGCCATCAACAAGTATTGCGAAACCGAATATTCACGCTACTAAAAAAAGTGTTGTTATCTATTTGGTGGGATTTTAAAGGCGTTATTTATTATGAATTGTTCAAATCCGCTGAAATTGTCCTTCGACCTTACCTCTGAATGTTATCAACAGCAACTTATTTAAGTGACGAGATCGAGCGTAAAAGACTATTTACCAGCAGTAAGGAACTAGACAGGTGATTCTACTTGCGCGACAACGTGCAACCACACAAAACGGCAAAAGCCTTATAAAAGATATTATGAAAACATAACTTTAGTCCCCAAGTTTTCGGCCTATTTTTAGCGTAGAAATGAGACGAGTTCTTTCTAATGCAAAAGTGTGTGCAATAATACACGCGCGCCACTTATGGGACGGACACGGGCGCACAATATTGCCACTCAAGTGATTAATGCAATAATGCGCCACTTCGCTAGAAGAGTGGATTCCATAATACTAGTTTTGCTATACCGTGATCACTGTTCTCATTTGCGTTAAATATCATATTTTCATGTCATAAATTGCATACGAAAAATGGAAGTCATCTAATGAATAATCCGATACCTGTATTTATAAAATATTTCGTAATAAGGAAGTAGTGCAAACATTACAATTGTTCTATAACGTATCATATTTAAATTATATTGTTGTTATTATGTTATAATTCGCAAATGTAATGTAACAGTTTTGAAGCGGTTAAATAGTGCATAGAAAATCATTTATGTTACCTCAACATAAATAGCCACTTATATAGCTATTGTATTCTGTGTTTGCTGGGTTGTAATGTAATCGATTCATTTCGTAATTACTAAATGATGATTTGTCGATGTTTGCAGCTCTTGCTGGAACATTTGGAATGTTTAGTTTCACGGCATGAACGGTCACTCAGGATGACGGTTGTGAAACGTCAAGCCGCTACTCAATCCGGCGTATCATCCGAGGTGGAAGTACTCAAAGCTCTGAAAAGTCTCTTCGAACATCACAAGGCTTTGGACGAAAAGGTATTCGTATCGTTCTACTTGATTTCTCTGCATTGTAATGCCAGTTTTTCATGAAGAAAATTTAATTAAAAAAAAAAGATAATTAAACTTCTTGTGATTATCAGTACAGCTAATAATTCTACTGACAAGGAGATGACGTGAATCTCGAAATCGATTTCTGGGAGAGTCATATTTTGTTCGATATAGAGCATAAAAATTTTAAAGAGTGGACCTTTGTTTATGAGAAATTATAATGTAAAGTTGAGCTCACGGAACTGTGCCCATATGAGGCAAAACTTAACATTCCGTGTTACCGAAGCGGCGTAACTGAAAAAATTAAGACTCTCGTCCCGATGTTTTTGCCAGCGTTCGCGTCCCGCTGATGACTTCTTTGCTTAATGTTCGTTTTTTTTATTATATTAGGGATGTAATTAATATTTTGTTATGCGTTATTGTGTTTTTCTTTTTCGATTTATTTCATTTTCTACGAATAATTAGAGAAGTTTCAGACTTTCTTAAGAGAAAATAATATGGAAACAATTTGTGCAGTCATTTAAACGAAATATATTTTTCATACATTTTATAAATTTGATTAATTTAGAGGTTAGGAACATTTTTTTTACAGAAATACCTATATGTTATAAAAATTTGCTATACTTACAAATTACAAATTTGTCGAATTGTACCAACATTCAAATATATGTTTGAATATATTGTATATATTAAAATTAGCAGTCAATCGAGATATTTTTTTATAATAATTAATTGATCAATCAAGTTTCCAAAACAACATTTATAATATACAATGTACATATACAACGTATTTTAGACAGTATAATTCACTTATTGAATGTTGTTGGTGCACCAAATTTTTGTTTTCACGGTTTTCATGTTCAAATTCTCATTCTCAGTCGCAACATTGCAACAAAATTGTGGCAAATTTTTAATGAAAAATTAAAAAAATTTTGATTACTTAAAAATTTATTTTTTTCCCCTATTGCCTCTTTTCACACAAAATAATTGAAGAATTATTATTTTACTAATAAAAGAAAAAAGATCACTTAAAAGAAACGTTACCATGAGGAATCGAAATTGTACCTCAGCAGTCGAACTCTCTACCATGCTTCGAACTTCGATTATAAGCTCCAGCCTATGCGAACACAGAAATCTTTTTTCGTTATAACTTTTGAATAACTTCCCGTTTACATATAATATTTTACGTTTGTACTTAAAAAGTCCCGCCCTATAAACTATTAAAGTTTTGTTCACATTTGTGTTTCCAATTTCGTGTGGTCTCCTTGTTAGTTGTGGTTAAATTATTGAGTATTGTTAAGTTTAGAGCATCCTTCACACTCGTCGTTGTTAATCAAAATGATGAGGTATCACCGGATATTATTAAAGATATGGGATGGGATAATTGTTGTCAATTATGATGTTGATGATGAGAGACAAATTTTTCTGAAGGAAGGTGGCGTCTGAAGGAAAGAACATTCTGTCGACCAGGCCGAATCGTCCTTCTTTTATAATAGTGTAGGTGTTGAAATGTGAAATTCAAATATTGTCCTGAGAACGTAGACTTATGGAGCTAATCGAAAATATCGAGTATTTAGTCACATCTAGGAAGTTAATTTTATCATTTTCGGTTATTTGTATAATATTTTAACATATAATACAATAATATAACAACAATAATGACGTTAATTATTTTATATACAATAATAGTCATATGTTTCTTATAGATTCAGCATAAAATACCCTTTCATATGGTGTATAAAGATGCTTCAGATTACAAAAAAGAGAAGTGAATGGTGGAGATATGTTAAAAATGATAATATTTTTCATAAGTCTGCGAATGTAAAATATTCTTGGAACTTAACTTATATCTTAAAAGTTTGTTGTTATTTAGTATGTACGATATTCGTACGATACTCGCTTCGAAAGAAGGAAGCGATTTTTTAAATTGGTATTTTACCTCTTAAAAATGCATACATGCCCTCTATTTTTGAACGATGCCTTTCTCTTCTTCCCTCCCTGCCTCTCCCCCCCCCCGTGTCTATCTTTGTCCTTCTTCCTCTCTCCCTTCCCTTCTCTTCCTCTCCCTCGATTTCAACATATTACAAGAACATCAAAATCGGAGGGGGATACTTCCGTTGATTTTCCTGTTAGTTTTTAAATATCTCTTCAATTCGAATTGCTTGCAATTGAGAAACATTGGACGTTTCAACGTTTCAATGTTCCAACATTCCTGTTAAGGATAAGTCTATATCTGTTGCTCAAGATACCTATACTAGGACTACGTTTTATTTAAAACAACCTCGTCGAGTCATTTCATTCAACGTGTCATTTCATTTCTGTTTAACATCCAGAAAAAACAAAGATAGAATGACTGCTTTCAGTAGAAAAAGAAGCTTAGTAAGCGCTTTGCGCTCCCTAGCAGTTTTGCAGCTGTTGTGAGATTTTTGCTGAACAACACCAGCGGTTTATGTTTTTCCAACATGCTTACTAAGCAGTAATTATTTTTTTCCAGCATACTTTTAATACGCCGAACCGCTTAATAAACATATTGGAAAAGCTGAAATCGTTAAATGGCATTTAGCGAAAAATCAGCACTACAGCGAGAAAAATGTTTACAAAACCACTTTCTGCTGAACGCAGCCAATGATCTCTCGCGTCTCTGTGGTCTCTGCCAAATAGAAACATAGTTAGGCGGTTCGTTAGGTCTGGGACATCCTGTATAAACGTTAGCAATCGGAAAGTTAATATTGCCAATGAACTTTAGGTGCGTGAGCGTTTGCGCGTGGCCCTCGAAAGAAATACAAGTCTCGAGGAGGAACTGGTCCACATCAAAGAAGAAGTGAGTTTTGCTTTGACGGATATATAAATTAAAGAAAAGATTGTTAACAAAATATTAAAGTATTATCTTATCGACCTAACGTGCAAGTGCGTTTGCAGCTCCAGCAGTATAAAGTAAGCGGGCACCCGCCAAAAACCATAGAAGATAGGCCGAAAGAGAACGGGCAAGCGGACGAAGGTCAGCAACAGAATAAGGTATCGACAAATTATCCGAATGATCCAACCAAATCATGTGTACACAAGCGCTCACAGATATTCATGTACACACGTACTGCTTTTCATATATCTCGTATATTAATCATGGATAAATGGAAAAAATTCGTCCGAGAGTGGTGAAACGCATCTGTGGAATTTTTTCACTTTGCATGCTCATGTGTAGTATGTGTCTTCACTTGTTGATGTTTCTCAAATTTGGACCTTCTTCATCCTATCTCTTTTTTCTCTTTTCTTATGTTATCAAAATATCATAAATGTTAATTTCAACAAAAGGCATTAGTCGAATTAAATGACCGGTGAAATGATCGATGAATTATATTCCTCTCGTCCTTCCATCCCTTCTTCCTTCTTCCTTTCGTTCTTTCCTCATAACCCCTCCTTTTTCCTATCCCATCTTCCCTTCTCTCTCCCTCCACCTGCTCTCCTTCTTTCCCTCTTCGCTTTTTTCTCTCCCTTTTCTCCCTTATTTTTATATTTCGATATTATATTATTGAAACTAAATCATTTTATTACATATTATAGTTCATGCCACGAAAAAATATTAATTATATAAAATTATGCTTAAAATAACCGTCAGCATTTTCATGCTATACATTTAGAATATCAAGCTGTAATAGACATTTCTTCATATATTATGTTAACGCGCGTTTTCTCTTGTGCGAGCTGCGTTGTTTAAGCGTATGTTTTTATTTCGACCGTGGTAAAAGACAACAGGCAAACATCTTTATTTATTCGCTCATTGATTTACGTTCTGCATCCATAAAAATGTATTTATCATAGTGCATGCCAAGTAGTTGTGTACAGTCGCGTAGCTGTGTACATGTAGTTTTTTGGAATTACGCGGCGATGCAGGTCAGGCAATGCGAGCGAAGAATTCTGAATGTAGTGTTGTGATCGGGCAGAATGAGACTGAGCAGGCAGGAAGCCAGCAACAACAGCAACAGCAACACGAGCAACATCAAGCGCAACAACAGCAACAGCTGGTACAGCAACAACAAAAGCTAGGTACAGAGAGGTCTACCGAAGCTGGTAGTAGACTGAGCAATGGGAGTCTCGATCCGGCTGATCAGGACTCAGCGGTGCGAGTAATAGACTTACAAGCCACTCTCGACAAGCAGGTATGAATTCTGTAGAACGAAACGACTAGAAATCATTAATCATTAACATCATTCTCTCTCAGGTAGCTCTCTTCATCATTTTATGCAAACGTGTGTAAAAATTACAACTAGTTCATGAGTTTGACTAGAATCAAATAAGTTCTAGAAGTTCTTTTACAACAAATTTCCCCAGTTTTTAATTGTATACCTGTAAAACGGTGATTTTTTTTTTATTTTTGCATGAATTATTCACTTGATGCAGAACATTGAGTGTAATATTTGAAGCAAGTAGGGAGCGTATTAATTAATATTTATTAGATGTAATTTCAATGATATATTGACCATGCCAGGTGTCCCAGAATAACCGCAAGGAGTACACCGGAAGATTCTTTGTATCAAAGGAAGCGACTTTTTCCTTTGCTAAAATGACATTGGAAAGTTGGGTTTTCAGATGGGAATTTTTTACGGTTGATAAATCAGCTTACATAGTTGCGTGCGACCTGCGCTCATTGCGAAACCATGAATCATCACGTGAGCTGTGTAGATTGGATTTTTTTATTTCGCTAAAAATTTTATCATGCATCTATGTATAATATCTGAATTTATTGCTACTGCGAGTAAAACTTATTTACATTCCGAGCATTTTCAGCATTTTGCTTTATTTTCGGTCGTTTTTTCAATGATATCGGTGAGGAATTTTTTTTATATTAAAATAAGTTCATTCAAAATAGCGATAAATTCAGATATTATGCATAATTGTGTTATAAAATCTATAGTGAGATAGGAAGAAATAACTTATATGACTCACATAATGTCTATTATTTTCATAACTTTTATATATGTCTATTCTATGTATTCTTTGCATATTAAGTATATACAGGGTGTCCCAGACTACTCGTCTCACTCGATTTTTTCGTAAACACGACATTTTAAAGAAAAATGTTTCAGACAAAAATTTTGTGACATCGAGGGGCACATAAGATGGTGTCATTGGTTTGACCTTGGATAGTCGTTTGAAGATCACGTGAAGGTCACCTTTAATTTCTTAAATGGAAACCCCCATTTTTCAATGCATATTCTTGTAGCTTACCTCGAGAGCTTTCCAAAACGCTATAATGAAACGTTTTTTTAATTAGTACTTTACGAGTTATGAGGATTGAAAGTTACGGTTCCGCCGGCATTAACATTACCCAGTCGTGATGTATGACATGTCTGATACTGTCACGTAAGGTGTAACAAAATTCTTATTTACCAGCCATGTCGTATTCAAACGCGGAAGCTTGTGATATGATGCTTATTTTAGGTGAATGTGATGGTCAATTTAGAGCAGCTGCAAGATTGTGGCGAGAACGATACCCAGATCGCGCTCCTCATTCGTACAAAGTTTTTTCTCGCTTAGCTAACCGAATTACCAATAAAGGTATTCTTCAACCGGAAGCAAACGGTGGACATTTCGAACACCAGGCTTAATAACATCAGCCACACACACACACACGCGCGCGTACAGCAGAGAGGGTTTGGAGTCGATAAATACTACGGGAGTGACGAACCGTGGGGTCCTTATCTCTGTTGACACACACACATTCACACACACAAACACACAAAGAGGTGTAAATCCGACCGTGCAACCTCCACCTTGGGTAATGCTAATGCCGGCGGTACCGTAACTTTCAACCCTCATAACTCGAAAAGTACTGATTAAAAAAACGTTTCATTATAGCGTTTTGGAAAGCTCTCGAGGTAAGCTACAAGAATATGCATTGAAAAATGGGGGTTTCCATTTAAGAAATTAAAGGTGACCTTCACGTGATCTTCAAACGACTATCCAAGGTCAAACCAATGACACCATCTTATGTGCCCCTCGAAGTCACAAAACTTGTCTGAAACATTTTTCTCTAAAATGTCGCGTTTACGAAAAAATCGGGTGAGACGGGTGGTCTGGGACACCCTGTATATAAATACCTAAAAATAGACAAAATGAATATACATATGTTATATTATTATTATGTTATTAATATGTATATTGTATTTACAGGGTGTTACATTTAGTAGAGCAGTATACTGGATTGTCGCTGTACGGGCACGCGTGAAGAAGAGAGTGCCGCGGAAATTCGAACCGGTCGCGCGCTCTCACATTCTCACGCGCAGCGGCAACCCGGTATATTGCTTTTTATGTAAGTGCAATACCCTGTACATGTTTATTTATTTATTTATTTATAATAGGGAACGCCCCCTTATAATATAAAACTAAGAAATACGGTATTTCATTACAATATATATAAATATGCAGTAATATGTTATTTAGACCTATCAAGGCCACAAACAAAACAAGCCATAGAGACATAGGCTGAGTTTGTAAACAATAGATTATAATAGACTATATCGCTTATGAATATAAATATGAATATAAAATATAAAATGCTAAAGAGAGAATAATAAGCTATGAAATTGAAAGCAATGCTAGTGAAAAAGTGATGCAGTTAATCATAATATTTGGATTAATGAAGTAAAGCAGACGCAGCAGCGTATTTGAAAGAACTTATCAACGCGCAGAAAAAAGTCATAAGAGTTCATGTCAAGACAACAATGCCGACTTGTGCGTATGATAGGGGAAAATCTGCATTATATAAGTTGACTTTGAATATATTTGGACAAAATAATTGCAACGCCCGAATCAGCCTGGGATAAGCGTGGAAATTGATTTTAGGGAAAAAAATAAAGCAGTCGTTATTACAGTTTATGGCATTCGTTAAACGTCTACGATTTTCTTAATATATACTGTTTCGGTGTGAATGAGTATACGTGAATGATCATGTTCATGGACAGACCTAATTTAAAAGAGGCAAACCGAAGGAATTTATGCTGCACAGTTTCAATTTGATTAATATAAATTGCCTGAAATGAGATATATATGTGTATATCAGGTATAGGAGCGACTTATTTTTCTCATTTTTCTTCATTTATTTAGTAACATATCATTTTTTCTCACTTTTAAGAAAACAGGTTATTTTTTTCTTATTTGTTTATATCTTAGAAAAAATTCGATCACAAGAAATCATGTTCAATATCTCGCTTCTTTAAAGACAAAACAAAATTTTTCAAAAAAAATATCATATAACAATAACTCCCACAGCACTATGTTCATAAAATGAAGAATTGTGATTTTATTTGTAAATTGTTTTTATCAAGTTACAAAAAACAGACAATAGCCGGAATTTGATGTGACAAATTTTTATAAAGGGTTTTATTGTATTAAATATATATTTAAGACTGAGTTTATAAAGTATGCATATTTGAAGATAAAAAAAAACAGTTGATAAAAGTATGATTTGGATGCGCGACATGTAGCGTTTTCGTAGTAATAACTTATCCGCTCAGCTACGCCGCTGAGCTTGAAAACTGTCGAAACAATTCGGTATATAACTTACAAGGAAAAATTCAAATTTGATTATCTCGTGAATGCTTAAAAATTGCATTGAATGGCTTTACTATAGATTAGTGGGAGGGCAATACTATAACATATTTCAGACTCGATGAAATTAGTTAGAGCAATATCTGGTACTCCTCTTGTTAGTAAATAAACGTCTTTAAATGTTTAGAGTTTCTGAGATATAATTGCTGCAATCTTAGTCAAAAAAATATATATTTTATTTATTAAATCGTATTTTATAAATAAGTAATTAGATATATATTATTATAAAAATTATAAAGCTGCTCAAAAGTGGAAACATCCATGATATTAAGGGGAAATAATATGTTTTTTAATGTCACTAGCGACAAACGTTAATAATATATCGACGGCACAATGTAGGATTCTTCGATTAATATTCGGAAATATCAAAATTGATTGGTACAGTCTGTTTGAAAAGAGCGTGTCCGGCGAAACTTTTACTTATAAACTATTAGACAGAGGTTTAAAAACTTGTTAAAAGCTTACTTAAAAATTTATGACAACTTTAAAAAATTGTTTCAATGCAATTTTGATAAAAGGTTTTTTTTTGCACAAAGGATCTCCCAATGCATTCGGTCTGATTTTATTCTGGGCACCTTGTATATTAAAATATACCGTATCTATCATATTAATATTTTTAACTTCTGCTTTGTGGACACACTTGTAAGGGGCTACCAAGATTTACCCTTTTCGATTTGGACGAAGTTCGAATATGTAACAGTACTATCCTCCCACGAATCAACGGTAAAGTGATTAGATGCAATTCTCACGTATTCTCGAGAAAAATACGTTTAAAATTTTCTGTGATCTTTTTATAGCGATTTACAAATACAACGACGGTTGTCAGCTCACAGCCGTAGCCGAGAATGTAGAATAGAAGTGGAATCGACCGCTATAAACATAGAGAAATCTTAAAAAAATTTATTGCATTTTGCAAATGCTTTAATGCACCAATGTGCAATGATTAATATCAGTAATCCATTTTTCTCATATTAGTATATAAAAAAATATTAAGGTGATGTTATCAAAAAGTGAATATTTTATGATTATGTACATATAAATGTATACCAAAATAAGAATTTTCTTATTAAAAATATGTTGTATAATCACATTCGTGTAAATACAGGTCGAAAAAACGAAAAAAAAAACAAGAATCGTATTTGCGACACACAACGTTTTATTCTAGTCGATCGCCTTATGCTGTAGGCTGCGGATGTTAATTGATAACCGTTGTTGTAAATTGATATGTAGAGATCATGGCAAACTGAAAATTATCTTGCGAATGCTTGAGAATTGCATCTAATCATTTTATTATTGATTGAGAAGGTAGCATTACACACATACCAATCTTGTCCAAATTGGAGAAGACAAATCCTAGTAGTTTTGTTGTTAGTAAGAAACTTTTATTTTATTAAAAATGAATTTTACATGTATCTCATTATATATTCGCCTTGTTAGAATGCACGATCAAGCTGTAGTAATTAACCCTTTTGGTACATTTGACGAGTGAGACTCGTCATCTGCTTACTTGGGCATAAAATATATTACTTTTACATATTAATCCATATAG